GAAATAATAGTGCCCGTAAATTGTTCTGTAAATAAATAATCAAATAGTAAAAGTAGTGGAATTCGTAATATATAATGTTGAAGATAGAGTAATGTTTGACGATGAAAAAGTTTGTCCAAATGAAATGGCAATGGTTTTAGTTCTTGTGTTTGATGTCGATCATGATGTTCATTAATAATACGATCATGTTGATGATTACCGATATCAAAAATAAATAAATTTCGTTCGTCGTTCATATTTGAGATGTGAATCTAAAATGGTGAATAGAGAGAGCTACAGCACATGTTTAAAATGAGAACAAAGCTTCCAGTTTACACGTAAGATAATTATTTATTTGTAAACGAGAGAAATGTGTGTGTTAAGGCTAACCAGAGTTGAAACAAGTCATTTCATCTAGCACCATTTACAAATTTAAAACCGATTTAAACTTTTCAGCTTGAAGAATGGTATAAATGAACTGTACACGAGTAGATATGATTGTGAACAATCGTATTAACTGGATTCATACAACAACCGTAAATACGATCTTACTAACAAATGGCTAGACTTGACCTATAATTATCTCCGGTTTTTTGAAAACGTAATACATAATAAACGTTCATACATAAAAACAACAACAAATGTTATCGCTGTTTTATAGATTTTTCATTTGGTCATGTTAAATGAACAAGGATGCCAAAGGTAGGACAACACCACATTTAACTTTTGCTTCTCCTCGTATATTTCACATTCGCCATTTGTTTGTGTTTTACTTTAGAAAGATGATATTGTGGCCTTTTTATACTATCTCTAACTCTAATTTTAGAATTAATATAAATGTGTTAAAAAAGAGAAAACAGATGAATTATGCTAGTAGACGACAATGATGGACAATCGTTAGTCTATCATTTATTATTTGTATCGTGAAGGAGCTAAACTTTTAAAAATCCGAATCAAGTCTAACTAGATTATGTTGATTTCCGTATAGTACCGGAAGAATATGTCTGAAATAAGCGTTTAAAGCAGTTTTCAAGTCGTATATAAACTCCTATGCTCTATTCGATGCAATGTTTTTTTCGAGACAGAAACTAATAGTTTTCGAGGTATTCACATTTTAATCAAAATACAAAAATGTTTAGCCAATAATAATGTAAAATCGGAAAATCAAGTAATGAAAGCAGTAGCAAGTATGACGATGAAAATCAAGAGTAACGAAAATCAAGTATGACGATGAAAATCACGAATCGAAGAAGCAAATGAAATAATTATTCACATTCGTAAGTGAATGGACTGCTCAGCTTTTGGCTGTAGAACTATCAATACATTTGAATACGCATTTAAATTGCAATGAGTTTCATTAATTAAGTTAGATTGATAAAAGATGGTTAAAAAAGAAGTTTCATACTAATAAAAGATACAGACGAAATAGTAAATTTTGTCTTTTAAAACTCGTGTTTGGGTGCACCTAACCTATGTATGAAATATAAAACGCAAAATTCAACAACACCTAGTCTGTTAGTCATCGTGCAATGGAGAGGATTTTATACACGTCCCATATTTAATTTTTTCTAGATGGCTAGTTTGTAAATGACTCATTTATAGTCACCTATGGCAGAAGACTGATGGAGCAAGACAACATGTATCAACTCGAATTCTACGATAGGATGTACTGAATCACATGGCAATGTTTCTTTCTAGGAAAAGATGAGTAAAGCTAGTAAAACTGAGTTTTGAGAAAAATAGACGAATTTAACTATAACTGTAGAAAAGCAAAATAGTCTTATCTCACTCAAAACTCAACCAAATCGTTGACAATCTTTAGAAAATACTCTTTTGCTTGATTTACATGCATTACAGAGTTAGCGAACCATTTTCTTATTATTGAGATTTTTAGAGGTTTTCTGATAATCCGTTGTAAGAAAATATATTAGTTTATATCAGTCGTGAGACTCCCAGCAAAACTAATATCATGTCTAAAATTACCGAGGCTGAGCCTACTGATTAAGATATCGTACATAGCTCAGATTGTAGGAGATTCGACGACGAGCTTTAAAATGGCATATAACACAAAATGTACATGTTTCTTTTTACTAGTGTAAGAAATAATGAAACCTGAAAGAACGTCACGTTGTTCTCTAGTCGATTTACTTTTGGTTCATTTTCTAGGGACTGGTCCAAACGATCTTGAAATTCTGAACATGTTAGCTTGTAGCAAATACCATGAACTTCAGAATGATGTATAATACAAAAATCTTGTTTGAGAGAAAAAGAGGCCACAAAAGCGAGAACTGTCTACTATATTTTTATAGTATACTATAAAAATATAGCAGACAGTCCTCGAATTTTAAGGGCTATTTATCTTTACTTTGGCATCTACGTGAAAGAAACATGAAAAAAACACCTTTACGTAATCTCTAGCTGATCTCGGGTAGGGATGCAACGGTAACGGTAACCACATCTTACCGGCTACCGTTACCGGTTTCAACCCGCGACGATTGCAAAGCCACTGTCAGAGTTGTACATGTGCATATTATTTTTTGGCCCTTCTGTAGTTCTTTGTCATCGTTCTGTGCCTCGTCAAGCTTTCAAAAATTCTTCCTAGCCGGGACCGCCCCTCGAAGATTCTAGTCCATCGCCCAACTCTGATATACAGCCAGCTGTTCTCATTCTCTGCTTTCGTTGGTTTGCAATCTAGAAATCTAATTAACATATGCTCCTCGAAATATAGATAGGATAGAAGAGAGAATAAACAACCGCCAAAAGTAAGAAAAAAACTGTTTAAAAAAGTCTTGTGCTTCATTTCACAAGGCAAGAAATAAACACAATAAAGTTAAAACTTTAGAATCACCTCATACCCAAATGCAGAGAAGTAGAAATACAAATCGGTGAGCCCGGTAGCTGTCAGCCATCAGTACCGATTGGACCAGTAACAGTAACCGGTTAGACCGGTAGCGGTTAACCGGTTGTCAACCGTTACCGTTGCATTCCTAATCTCGGGGTCCCTACTGACGAAGAATTGCTCGAATTTCAGATACCAAAAGTATATGAAATTAGTTAAAATCGAGTAAAAATATTTATCTACTACTCATAGAATCGCTTTTAGGCAAAAATTGAAGTGGACCGATTATCAGCCTTATACGGTCCCCTCCTTTTCTGATTTCAGTCATTTTTACTTTCTTTAATGTTTAACGCGAATTTTTTTGTTTATTCATAAAAATAAAGTTGAACGTACTGCCAGAGAAAACTCGATTAATTTATTTATTTTCATTTCATCCTAAATCTATTCTATGCACACATGCATGTTCACATGCATCATGTACTTACAGAGCAAAGACGTTAGTTAATATATTTGTTCAAATTTAAAAACCGTACACAACTTAAATGTTTGATGTTTCATGGATGTTAAGCCTCCAGCAAATAACAAAAATAAGGAAATTAGAACGAAAGTAAAAATAATGATAAGACTAAATAGTACTACATCTGGTTTTCGTTTTTTCTGGTTCATTCTATCGGTTTGTAGTAAAATATTAGAAAGGAGCGAAAAAGAAGAACAAGGTTTACAAATAAATTAATTAAAATAGTTAAGTAGAGCAGATTGACATTTAGTATTTAGTCAAAAAAGTCTTACGCTTTCGACCACGTTTTGACAGGTTTCTAACTGTGCCGAGTTGACAACCCTTCTTCGAATGGTTAAGATATTCTACATCTAAAATTTCCAGAACTAGTCACTATTGTCAATGTCAAAACCAATAGAAAGTATTGTATCGCTCGGCTCTAGTAATTTAGTTGAAAATTTAGTTTAGAATCTCGACCGGTTTAAATACCATTTCGCATCCAAAGTTTACCTAGCCCATTGATTGGAGCTAACTACCATTGCAATCTGTGAGATATCTTCCACCAGTGTTTAGCACTGCACTCCTTATGAGGAGGACCTGAGCCATGTTTTCATTGAGAACATCTAACGTAAATTGAATTCATAGAAACCGTGTTTTCATTTCTCGTACTTTAACTAAAAGATAATTTGAATTATTGCGATTTTGCGATGAGATCTAAATCATCCTCGCTGCGTTCAATTGTTTTGAAAAAGGACTTTGATAAAAAACAAACGTCAAGAGGTATTAGTCGTTTATTGGTGTTTCAGATTCATTTAAGGATCAGAGCATGATGCGTTTCATTAATGTGAACTGTTCATGAATTTAAGCGAAGACCTAAGTTACTGTTTAGTATGTTTTACTGTGTCGTTCTTCAGCATAATTTTAAGATAATTCTGGCGATGTTTTAATTCAATGTTTAATAAAATCACATTCTACGGCGTCACGACAAACTTACGTGAACCCTTGACAACTATTAACTCAATACTTAAGGGTGTTTCCACCCAGATCCTCCCATTTATATACAACTTCAACTATAGTCTAAATTTCAAATTGTACACGGTATAAATGGCGTTCTACAGGTACAATTTGTCGTTAAAAAACTTTTTTTTCGAAAAAAAATTGTTTTTGAGAAACATGGCTCGCAACAGTTATCCTTTTCACATTAGGAGCCTGGAAAGCTCGATTTTCGGCTTTACTATAGGTTTTAAAAATTTTTCGAATTAACCATCCTACAGAGCACAAAAAAAAGTTGTACGGTAAAATTTTCAAGGTTATTACTGATAAGGCCTCCAGACACAGATCGAGGAGAAATGGCAACGGCACTTTTGTGATTGCTACAAGTCGATCAACAATTATTTAAATGACAATTATTCTAAACAAGCAGAAAAGACGTTACAATTTCTAATTACAGCTGTTCGGCTGATAGAAAAAAAAATTGGTTATTTTTGACAATATTATTAACTGTAATTATCCTAAATAGCTTATCATTTTTATAGTATAATAGTTATCATTTTTTTCGCAAATGTTGACTATCAACAAACTAATAATTTTAAAACGTTTGATCAAATGATTCTTTTTTTTCAATTTTTCATTGTTGATGAACTCATAATTGTTCTAGATTATCTGTGAAGAAGACTATTTTGCCTAATGACGGGTGTTATCGCGTGTTTATCATGTAAAAATGGTCAACTGTTTCTGCGTTCATCATCTATTCGAACTCTTCTGGCTCCATCAACTATTAGTTCACATAAAAATGTCGAACAAAAACGGTTAGTATATATTATAGTTCTAAACAAAAATCTTTATTTCGTGTTCATATTAGGTCGATTCAATTTTTCCTCAGTAAAGAAGATAATAAACAAGCTTTAAGAGATTCGATATGGTTCTATTCAAATCCGGAGTATACAAAATGGAAGGTGAAGCCTGTTCGTCAAGATTTGTTACAAGAGGCACCGCCGAAACGCAAATTACGAAATTTTAAAATCAATTTTGGTCCACAACATCCAGCAGCTCACGGAGTTTTACGTTTAATTGTTGAACTAGATGGTGAAACAGTACTACGCGCCGATCCACATATTGGTCTGTTACATCGTGGAACAGAAAAACTATGTGAATACAAAACATATATACAGGTTAGATAGTGTACTCGTTTAAAACAGTTGTTATAGGAAAAACTAGTTCTCTATTAGGCATTGCCCTATTTTGATCGTCTCGATTATTGTTCAATGATGACTAATGAACAAGTTTATTCGTTGGCAATCGAACGTCTTCTTGGTATTAATATTCCTGATAGAGCAAAATGGATAAGAGGTAAACACGTAATAGTATTATATTTATTCGTTCAATGAATCTCTCATATCAACTTTTTTTCAATAAAATCTTTCTTTTTCAGTACTGATGGCAGAGATGACACGTATATTGAATCATACATTAGCCGTTGGATGTCATGCATTGGATATTGGTGCCATGACACCATTCTTTTGGATATTTGAAGAACGAGAAAAAGTAGTTTTACAACTAAAATTTGTTTCTTTTAATTTAGATTTTCTAAATTATATGTTTTAGATCATGGAATTTTATGAGAGAGTTTCCGGTGCTCGAATGCATGCTGCATACATTCGACCAGGTGGCGTTGCGTTTGATCTTCCATTAGGCTACTTGGATGATATACATGCTTGGTGTCAACAGTTTTCACGTCGTATTGACGAAGTTGACGATATGTTATCAGAAAATCGTATATGGAATCAAAGAACAGTTGGAATTGGCACAGTGACAGCAGAAGAAGCAGTAACTATCGATTTATGAAAATGAGAGATATTTATTTTAGTATATATCTTACTTTAGTTGAATCTCGGTTTTTCTGGAGTTATGGTACGTGGTTCAGGTATTAAGTGGGACATTCGTAAGAGTCAACCGTACGATGCTTATGATCAAGTTGAATTTGATGTACCAATAGGAGTTAACGGAGATTGTTATGATAGGTAAAAAAACTTGCGATGACTTTATATTATAAAAATAATTATTTTTGATTACTTAATTTTAAGATATTTATGTCGTATGGAAGAAATGAGACAAAGTTTACGTATCATGGAGCAATGTCTGAATAAAATGCCAAGCGGCGAATTCAGAGTTGATGATCACAAAATTGTACCACCTAAACGAGCAGAAATGAAAGTAAAAAAAGTCTAATTCTTCTCTACTATACTATAGAAATTTTTCTTTAAGGAATCAATGGAAGCACTTATTCATCATTTCAAATTATTTAGCGAAGGTTTTCAAGTACCTCCAGGAGCCACATACACGGCCATAGAAGCACCAAAAGTAAAGACAATTTAAAATATAAGTTCAAGGTTCATTCTTTTGAATATTTTTCTTATTTAGGGTGAAATGGGGGTGTATTTGGTATCAGATGGATCTTCTCGTCCTTATCGTTTACATGTGAAAGCGCCCGGTTTCATTCATTTGGTGAGTGAATATAGTTGAACCCAATTCTTCATACTGACAGTTTTGAGCTAGTTAGTCACAAAAAAATGACTCTGGCTAAAATATAGGTACATTGTTCAGAGCTATGCAGTTAGAAAAGTTTGTCGATTTAATGTCAATAGATCTAAAGCACTACTCATAAAATATTTTGACTTGTTAAACTAAATGTGTATAACGAAAGATCATCGTCACCGTGAAGTAAATCACTACATCTATCTGGCAATTTTTCTATTTTCTAGGCTGCCCTTGATCGTATTAGTCGTCGACATATGTTAGCAGATTTAGTTGCTATTATTGGAACATTGGATATTGTATTTGGTGAAGTTGATCGATAATAAGACATTTTTGACACTAATAAAAACACCTTTTTTTTTTAAATTTTCTCATTTGTACATTGGTATAACCAAACGTTGGTATTTGTATTTATATGCTGGTTTTTTATATTCACCATCAACTCCGCTTTGTATTTTTCATCAAACAACTTTTTTTTCCAAGATTAAATTAATTTTTAATAGAAGATAGAAGTGTTTATCCGCTGTTTTAATCAATCGATTTGTTGCCTTTGAAGCAATTATTTTCTTTTCTCTGTTAAAATATCCTCATGCTATAAACAAGCTATAGATAATGTTGTTTTGATATTTTATAGGAAAGTGCATTTAATGTTAAATATTTTTAAAAAAAAAGGTGTACTGTACTAGATACAAGTTGTATTTGCACAATATAATGTGCGAATCTTTCTAAAATATTTGATTTATATTTAGATATCATTTCTCTTTTTTGCAGCATAACAACTTAATGTCTATTGTTTAATTTTTTCTTCGTAGACATATAGAAATAAGAAAAAAAATGCAAAATTTTGTAAAAAAAAATGACACAAAATTGAGATTCATGATTTATATACAAGTAAAACAAATTTAGAAAATGTCTTCTAAAGAAAAATGCAAAATGTCATATAAATCTTTATAGAAAAGTACAAGTGTGTTTGTTTTTATAAAACATTAATTTCTACAAAATAAACAGATAACTATTAAAAATGAAAAATCGCCATTGAAAAACAGACGGAATGCAATCAGCAGTCGAAAAAAACCAAAACAAAATTCAACATAGGTCTAAAAATATACCTGTATTGAATAAAAACAAAGACTACATTAACAAAAAAACATATAATTTGAGGATTAAGTTAAAAAAACAAATAATCCAACAGAGTATCTCAAAGATAAGATAAAATGGACGTATAACTGAATGGAATGTAAAATGAAAAAAAAAATTAGTCTAGTCTAGACGACATTCTACTTATTTTGAGCAAATTATCCTACAATACAACTTACTAATATGATGACTAATGTTTGTGATGAAAATTGCTAAAGCTCATCAAGCAAACCTTGACTTTTGTATGTATGTAAGAGACTTTCGAAATACGAACATTTTTTTATACAAATGAACTAATATCTGTTGCCGCAATGCGACAGTAATTGCTTAATGAACAATACTAATCTATCAAGTAGTGAAAAACTTGTAGAAATAAATATTGACTAAACATATTGACTAAACAGAGGAAGAGAGTTGTCTATTGCATAGAACGAACATATGAATGAAAAGATTATACAAGATTTAATTCATTCGAGCGAATAATGTTAACCATAAGGTTAAAGTCAATAAAATTACATTGACGGACGAAATTGAACTGGCAACAGCAATACGACATTTCAATTGATCAAATCTAAACGAAGAGAGAAGAGAAAAATGATCTGTTGAGATCAGCAAATATAACTCGAGCAAGGTATTATTTTGCTGTTTCTCTCTACTATTGTTGTTTCTATCTTCTTTTTGTTTGTGTCTATCTATTTACTTGTTTTTTTCTCTCGTTTTCTCTTTTCTTTAGAAAGATTTCAGTGTGCAATACAATACAACTATTAGACTGAATATATATCGTATTGTAACCGTTACGATTGAGTAATTCACATTTTTTCTGAATAACTTTTTAAACAACGAGAGAGAGAGTGATTTCCTATCCATTTCTAATCAAAATTACTGAAGATCAGTTTAAATTCTTCTCATCATACCTGCTCCACATTGAACTATTATTAATCATGGTATCCCATTCTTTATCCATTTGATCTCCATTAAAAAAATCATTTTGATCCAAAAATGGATATTCATAGCCCGGTCGACAACGACATTTATATTTTCCCAAGAGAAATTTACGACCTAAAATTGGTTCACACTAAACAAAAATAAGAAAGACAAGATTGAATAAAATGAAAAATATGAATATAAAAACTTATTACATACCACCGTGCTTTGATAATCACATCGATCACTTCCTTTAAATGCATTAGGTACATAGTGTGGCATTTGACATTGATTAATATCCAAATAGCCAAGATATGCATCAACACGAACAACACCTCTGAAAAATATTAATGAAAATAATTTTTTATGTCAAAGAGATGTTAAACATTCAAAACATACTTAAATTCAAGACTAGTACTAAGAACATCAAGTCCAAAAAATGGTATAGCATAAGTAACTATCCAACTACGTGGTATTGTATTATTTCTATTACATTGAAACACTGGTGGAAACCACTGACCATGTCTATAGTAATTAACAATGAAATTAGAAGACATTATATTGTATTTATATGTCAGAGTCATACTTTAACTCTGGTGCGTAAGAGTATAATGGAAATCCAGATTCGTGATGAACCAATGCATTTCCTACAGAATCACTACGTATTAATAATTTAAGCCAGTATTCTTTTAATTCAGAACGATCAGCATTTGTTGCCCAACGCGCTTTGATTGTCTAAAAAGAGCATAATCAATACTTACATTTGTTAACCTACATGAATAAATTTGAATTTTACTTTAAACCAAACTTCGTTTTCATATCCATCGGGCAAACCAGCACTATCAACTACAACATATTTTCGACTAACATCACTGTCCGCTCGATAAGCATACGGTCCAAAATATGGAAGATGATGATTTTTAAATTTTCCACGCTAATTAACGAAAAAGAAAGAAAGTATATAATTAGTTATTTCTAATAAAAGATTACTTACATCAAAAAATATTCCAACACCTTGTAGTTTATAGTCGGCTCCGACAGCTGCTAATACTTCACCAATCAATTGTTCATCCGTCAATTCTAATTCAGCTTGTCGTAGTGGAAAATCTTCAGCTGGATTAACAACTTGATAAAAACTTGAAAGAAAATGTGACAATGTTAATGCTAGACGAGCTTGTGATTCAAATTGTGCATCAATATCATATAACACGTCACCGGGCAATGTTAATTGATCTTCGGTCATTTTTTCACATAAATTTGGATCACGTTGAAGTGCATCATATAATTGAAATATACTTGCGACACGTGGAGTACGCTCATAGGCATAACGTTTTGAACGATGTTTTTTCATATTCTCGTTTTCATTCGATAGTTGATCGTTGTCATCATAACCAGTCACTAATTTACCAGATATGTCAACTAATTGTAATAAAGAAGATTTTAATAAGGAAGTTGAATATGTTGGTGCAGACAATAACATTTTTAATGGATTAATTTGGAATACTACAAAAATAAATAAAATGACATCTAACGAAGATTTCTGGCAGCGAGATCGTAAAAACGTTTAAACAGCAACAGTTAAAGTTAGTATATTCATAGAAATATGTACGACCTAAATACTTACATGAATCAGAGATGGCGGACATCTTTGTCTGATTTAAATAATTAAATGGTTCTGTCGTTGTTGTTGGATCCACTATGTTACGTATATCGTCATCATTGTAAGTTGATAATTGAGGAATATGCATCGTGGTTGTATCGTTTATCGAACGACGACGTCTTGCATTTGATGCATGAATTTCAACATTTGAATCAAAAACATTAAATGGAAGTTGTTGGTACACTAAAATGAACAATGATATTGACAAATGTCTGCATTTTTCACTTAGCTTACTTACAATCGACTCTTAAACAATCGAAATTATTTGCATATTCTTCTTCTGTTGCTTTTTCAATTACATAACCTTTAAACGGTCCATCTTGATATGGAGGATATCTATGTCCCGGTTTACATAAACATTGATAGCCTTGAGAAGAATAAACAAAATAAATTAAGATAAAAGCTTTCTAGAACTAACTGTTGATACCTACCACCACGACGAAAACCAAATCCAAACAATGGTTCACAACGTGTTGTTTCTTTACATTTATCTGTTCCAGCAAACATATTTGGCGATTTTGATTGTGGATCATTTGATTGAGTATTTCCCATTGAATTTTGTTCACACTGATTAATATCTAACATGATAAAATCAACATCAGTCACTGCCACACCTAAATTTTGCATGGCTTGTAAATGACGATACTCTGTATGCCTGGGATAAATATCGACGATAGGTGATACAGCGCTTATTATCCATTTATTTGAACGACCACAATCAAAATAGGGTTTGGTCCAAATTGTTGGACCTTGTGGATCTTCGGGATGTGGTGGACCTAGATAAAATAACTTTCTTTGCTACGTTTATCTCCGTTCACAACGACTAAACATACCATAAAATTCAATATTTTCAGGTACATCACGCAATTTATACATGCGCTCAGCCAAATAAAGCTGAACGGTGTGAACCGGTTTGCCTAAAGATTAGAAAAAGTAAATGAAGTAGTATATATTTCTCTAAGAAAAGTGGGAAGTTAAAATTAGATCGTTCTTGTGGGAATTACAAAATGAGCGAACAGCCTATAAAACGTACATCAAGTGAAGATACAGACTTATCCGCAATGAAGACAGCAACTGAACAAAGAGAGCTGCAAATATACTAATGAGCTGTGTAAGATCTAGAACATGTTGCTTATCATGTACTACGAAAAAATGGGTGAAGGCAACGAACAGAAGAAAAAAGTTGTAACAGATATTTAGAATATTTTGAGCGTAGAATGTAAGTTACAGTCTGTAAATCACTTTTTTACCTCTTCCTTGGTCATTTCTTGTTTGATCCGGTAACCATTTACTATACCATTCATTTCCTCGAGTATATCGGCTTGTATATTGACGATTTTTACCCGCTCCGATATCTTCTTCTTGAATTGTTTGATTTGTCCATTCATTTTTCCAATTGAATGCATCATAGAAATCATCTGCACGCCATGCATAAGGACCAAAATATGGTATAGTTTTGTTAAAATAATTTTTATACCAGTGTGGATCTATAAAAAACAAGAAAATTTATTATATTAGTCTTAATGGCACAAAATAGACTATTGTTGTTCTTACAATATTTATTCTGATCGAAGAAAATTCCACTGCCATTAATTAAACTTAAACCACCTGTAACATCAGCTACATTGTGTAATAATATATAGGTTAGACCGGGTTCATCAAAATCAAATAAACGTTGAAATAAATAACTGTACAATAAGGCATTACGATGAGCAATATTTCTCACATGTAACAATTGCGTTCGATTTCTCATTATGATATCTTTTTTTAACATCTCAATTGATGGTTTTTGAAACACACTTTCTTCTGGTAATAGTAGTTCACTTGGTTGCTTTTGAAAACAATTTCCACTATTTACGAAATTAATTCGTTCCATTATTTCATCAATTGTATCATATTTGATCCATTCAAATTGAGAATTAATATATACAGAATTTTTTTCATAAAACAATAAACATAACACTAAGGATAAACAAAATTTCAGAATACAATTCTTGATAGAGATCATCATTAGATGATTTTTAATCTGAAAAAACCGTTGTAGATTAATAAAACATGTACACCACATAACTGTCATGCACAAATATAAAAAGAAATCTTCAATACTAGTCTTAAAAAATTTCCTTTTTTTAAGTGTATGTCTATGTTTTGTTGATATACTTCCATAACAAAGAAGCCAAGAGACCTCTGATACATTCGATTTTGTTAAGCACACTTTTTCTCGCAAAATGAGACAATCGATGGCACGGGCCAGCTTTTCGTTCGAAAGATATAAAGATTAGAAAACAGCACAAAATGATACGAAATCACATTTTCGGGTGAGTTACGTGGAATGACCCAGATTAAGAATTTACAACCTCCAAAGCATCCGGGCGCTAATTGTATTATTTTTAGTACACGGACTAAGACTAAGGCTAAGGCTGTTTATTCACGAAAAGTGAGAGAGTCATGACTCAAGCCAAACAACAGAAAAAGAGTAATAAAAAAGAATAAATAAGACAACTAAGGTTAGAACCAGAAGTAGTAAAAAAAAAGAACAAATATAAATTCTTAACTGACAAAGATTTCACTGGAAGAGATACTGACATCAAGCTATTTTGAAAGACGTTAAAGAAGAAAGACAAATAACTGACTCTGGGAGATTATTCCAGTAGTGAGGACAATGAATAGTATAAAAAAGAGAAATAGGACTTATACAATGATAAATTTTGAAAAACTGTAGAAGTCTAAAGTATTTACGACGAAGAGTGAGATTTGGAAGAGAAAGTTGAGACACAAGTAGAGAACTAGAAGAACGATAGTCAGAATTGCGAGAAATAACACGAGAAGCAAGTTTGTTTACAGAATCAAGAATAGTAAGAGAAAACGAACTGTCATACAAGGCACAACAATAGTCAGCTTTGGGAAGAATAGAAGAAAGATAGATTCGACGCCAAACTTCATGTCAGTTGGAGCTAATCCAAAGGCACGATTCAATGCTCACGGTATGTAATGATAGAACGTGGAAGTGATTGACGATACGAATGAGAAACAGAGTGAGACAAAACAGTGAGTATTCAATCATATTCAGATAGCCGATCCTTGCTATTGTATATAGAAGAGAAAAAGAGTAGACTGTTCAGATGACTCATCCATCATCATATTCCTCGCATCATCTACCACTTGCGCTTTACGTGTAATAAGAAAAAGAGAAAGCGGTGCCGTTTCAGAGTGACATCTTGTTTCTTCTAGTTTAATTGGCTGTGAAGTTTAGCTACTTTTCTTTGTCTTTGTCTCAGAAAAAATTAGTAGAAGAGGAAGCAAAGATGTTGCGCTAAACCTTCCTACTGCATTTATCGCGATCGAGATACGCTACTGAAGAAATTTCTACTAAGGAACGCTAACTCCCACACATTTCACGAAGAAGCCAGCGCTCTTCAGTAGAAATTTCTTCAGTAGCGTCTCTCGACTATTTATCGCTCCCAATGCTTCATGCAGTACGTCCAGTAACTCACTAAACTCGATGCGCTTTAGAAGCCACAATTCACTGGAATTGCTAAAACGTCTCTTCTGCTAATAAATATGGGTGTAGGCTACGCTTGTTCGTGAAAAAGGGTCAACTATTTCTTCGAAATATTAATAAAACTTATAAAGCTCGATATTCTTATTCTTGGTTTTATTCTAGCTATAGTGTTTTTAATGGTGAGTTTTTCCACTGTAGAATCAACGTTATGGTGGAAATTATAGCAGATTTCAGCCTTTCATCATATGTAGATTACAATGACAAGTCCTCTCGCTCACCGTTCTACTGAAAGCACTGCGCTTGATCATCATTGGAGGGATTGGATCATTTTTTGCTATGTTTTGTAGATTTTTACAGTCAAGAGACATCTAGTCATCATCTTCTCAACAATGACAAGTTGGCGTAAAAAGTTCTTGTAAGTTCATTTGTTCATCTGCTTTGTTTTATCTCTTTTTGATTCTCATTTTTTAAAGAGGTAAATCGCATCGTCTGAATGAAAATGACGAACAAATGTTGAATAACACCGTTAAATATCGAAAAAAATTAATTTCCGCTATGGGTCAAATTAGTCGAACAAAAAAAACAGTACAAAGAAACCTCGATGGCCCTGATTCAGAAATTCATGGCAAGTTGCTAGTTCAAATCAACACTTGTCGTTTATTTTTTTATTTAATTTATAGTTGCACGATTAATCAATGATATAGGACAGTTATCTGGAAGCAAACCACTACAGGCAAGCAAATCTAGAGGAGATTTTGACAGTATAGTGCGACTGAAGAAGTTCAGTCTCGTTTAAAGATTTAGGGATTCTATTTTTATATTTTTTATATCATTTTAGGAAATAAGTGGTTTAATCGATTCTTTAGCTATGCGGCATCAATTAGCTTCAAGAATTTTCAATGGTTTGTTGTGCTTTTTTTTCGTGGACTCTCTCGAAATTAACAAGATGCACTATTGATAGCTATTTACTCTATGTCTAATTATAGAATACGCTTTTGACTCATTACATCAGTCATTACGGAAATTAAATGATCATGTTCAGGGTGATTGTGAAAAAGCAAAAATGGTTCGTAAAAAGTAAACAAAAGCAGCAATTTTATTACAGATTTTTGAAATTTTAGGTGTTTGAAGAAGCAGTATCAAATAATTGCTCGGAACATACAAAAAAACAATTACGATCAAAAGGTAAGAGCATTAGACGCAAGATTAGTAAAATATTACAATGTATATTTTCGTAACTTTATTGTAGTGCAAAATGAATGGGGTAAACATCAAAAGTTAGCTGTTAAGGAACTGAAAAGCAGTTTATCATCATATAGCCGTATTGGGTTGTATAATTTGAAATTACAGACAGCAATACTCGAAAAACTTCAAGTAAGTGAGCAACAGAATCAGGAAATATTTTGACTCCTGTTTTTCGAGCAAACGTTACAGCTGAAATAATAAATCTTTTTTCTGCTAATTTGATCGTTCCCAATTTAATATGTAAATATAAGAAATAGCTGTCAACACTAAGCAATTTTGTTTAAGAGAGCACGGTTTTAGTGGGTATTAGAAACATTGAGAAATTTTTAACTGTTGTAGAGTTACGTTGATCAACTGCCTCATGATGATGATAACAATAACGGCAACGAAAATCAAAACAGTGAGCAGTTAATATCAAATACAAATGTCGGCTTGCCAGATTTTTCTACAAACAGTGTTCAAATGCGTCGAGAAATCGATACAATGTTACGTATTATGCTTGATGCAGTTCCAAATGAATTACCACAATCAAAACGTCATAAATTTTTTGGTAAATACTTTTAGAAGATAATGATATGTAGTTTTACGCTATTTCATTTTGATAGATTCGCTTTATTCACCAGAAATAACAGAAGCTGCACGTATGAGTGATTACTCATTACAAAATCAGACAACAACAGATCCTGGTATTCCTCAATATCCAACAATTTTATCGCCATCAAGTAATAATTATTCTACAAGACAACAATCTCATTTATTCTCACCTGTATCGCATGGTTATAACATATACAATCAACATCATCAAAATGAGATATGTATGTATAAGATAATATTCTATTTTCTCTTTTCTTCGCATATATTAAGTTCTGTCTAATTAAACTGGGTAGAGTACCTTCCTTCTTTAGTACTGAGCTTCGATGAAGCAATTGTCTGAACTATTTATTGTTGTTCTAGCTGCGCCAGATGATAATTTACCATCATATACGGATCTGTTTGTTGTTCCAAGCAATTGTAAAGGATATAATCCTATTCGTCGAAGTTCACGTTTGATTAATCAATAAATACTGATAAGTGTCTACTCCTTAGATAATTATTTTTTCTTACAGTAACTGTGGTTTTACCCAGAATATGTGCAATATGATAACAAAAAAATGTAAATTTTATGCTTGAATAATTTACTGTAAATTTTTTTTTATTAGACTCCGGTGTTAAATAGCTGTCTCTGTTGTGTAAATACTTTTGAATAGTTAATGTTGTTTTTATTTTATCGAGTTAAAAATTATTGTTGTTTGTGCTCGTTCTTGTTGTAATTACAAAGCATAGAATAATACGTTGCTTTATTACGTTAGATAAAGAATGATATCAATTATTGTAAAGAATGATATTATTGCGCTTCTTAGATTTTTGGTTCTTGATTATTTTACATTTGAATGTCTGTTTTTTTCCAGTGGTAAAATAAAATATTTAAATTTAAAATTTATTAAGTTATTAAATATTATGCAGATAGAGATTTTCTTGTTTATTTGTTCATACTATTGTTAGAGGTTTATTTGAGCTATTTGCATATTGATAGATTGTATTAAAATTTCATGGTTTTTTTGTCTGTCTAAATGGTTTTCTTCTTAAAAAAATGTAAATGTTCGCAGTTGAATAAAATGTGGTAGAGTAAAGTGTAACTGATGGTAATATATTGTTAGCGGATAAAGCAAATATTGATGGTAGAAGGTGAATATGAAGCGAATATTTCAAAGTTCTCTTGATTATTGAGTCCGCACCTCGCTATTATCGATTCTACATGCAGTGATGAATGTAAAAAAATAAGGTAAACTGTTGTCAACGAAAACGTAATTTTAAATATTTTATTTACAATGAATTTATTTATGAATAAAAAAAACTAGTACATTTCTCATTAATGTTCTTCAACAACTAACAACTGGCGCTAAAAACAAAATTTGAGTGTTATTCGACGGTTTAGATCATCAAACAATGAACGACGTAAAAGGTTTTATGTACTTCAGCTATACAAATTCATTGAACATATTGATAATTTTTGTTTTCTTCAGGTATTGAATTAAATTTATCTTCAATCTCCAATGAAACCCGTTATAAAAATTCTCAGATTTATTCTTATACACTTGCTATTGGATTTTCGTGCGTTGGTTTCTTGTTTTTTTGCATGTTATGTCTATTAATCACTCGTGCCGTCTACGAACGAGAACAACGTCAAAAACAAATGACAAATCTTCATCGTCTCCTATTCAATTTACCTGATGTAGATTTGAATACGATTAATATGAATAAACTAAAAGACGATATTATTGATAAAACAGCGAATCGATTTGGACAAGTATGCATGACATTAGGAAAAACTATTAGAGAAATGGATGAATTTAAAAGTCAATTACAAAATTTGCCAACATCTATCGCTCAGAAATTAGGTGCACTCAGTGACGGATCAAATAATCAAGCGATTGAAAGTTTACAACGAGCCTTAGTCGAAAATCAATTGCATTTCAATGCGCCACAACATATTGTTTCAAATTAATAAGCTGTATTCTTCGGATTATATGTACATTAGTGTATATATACTAATTAGTATTTTTCAACAAGTAGAAAGTATTTGATCGGCATATGATTATCTCTGTAGAATCAGATAAATATTTGATCTGAAAAAACGCAACTCTATCAAATAGCTAATATAGAATATATTTTTAAAATATATTCAGTATAAAAACTCCAAATGAAATGTTCATTTCTAATTATTAGAAAATCTTCATCACACTATTAGTGTGTGGTTAATAGTTTCGTTATAGCGACATCTATACGATTCGACGAATGTTTAAGAGAAAACGGCCGATCGACCAATCATTAGAGAGTACAAAAATTTCGTTCTTTCAAATGAGTAATTGTAATCGAGCACAACGAATTTTTTGTCCTACCTCGTAAATATTTCTTCAAATTTCATTATCCGTGGTCCGTTGAGAAGAGAGTTCATGTCTTTTCATTGCCCATTTACTTTACCGACCTGATTCAAAGAACATTGTCCACTCGATGTGGATCACAGCTCCACCTTTGATGAATCGATCCTCAGAAAGTTTCCTTTTAACTTTTAAACAACAGCTAAAAAACTGATGATCATAATAGGTCATGACTCATAAGACTCGAAAAATTTCTCACAGTTAACTTAACTATAATGACCGAGTTTTGATAGACAGAAACAGTTTGACTGATTTCAATCTGAAGCGCACAATGATGACCAGTGAGAGTAAACTTAGTCTTGCGTTGACTCGTTTAGAACTGAATGAATTTCTTTTGGAATCGATCAAATTTTCTTTACAGATATTTAATGTATTTATTTTCATTTTAGACAAACTATGTCGACCAGTAAAACGTCAATTGGACGATCTTTAATCAAAACACGCGTCCCAAATCAACAACGTCGTGCTAAAGTGGGAGATGATTGGGTGAGTCCATTTCTACGCTCAATCAATGTCTCTTACACTTTCTTCGATCAACTTGTTAACGTATAATTTCTTTTTATTTACTATTTAGATTCATTATAAAGCCGATTTTACAGCTACAACAGACTGGAATCGTTTGAATTTACGTTCTATAACAGATCAAAATTCATTAGACGATTTTTTAACAACAGCACAATTGGCTGGAACAGATTTTGCTGCTGGTAAATAAATATACATATATTTACTCACATTTTATTTATTTGTTTTGATTTTAGAACGTTTGAATGTTACATTTATTCCACCCGTAGCTAAAGTTGGAATATTAAGTGCTGAAGATAAAGAACGAATTAAACAAGCGCAAGATTTACATAAAGAAAGACTACAGATTCCTAGACGGTATATAAAATAGGAATGTATTTTTATTTGTGTGTATTCATTGTTCTTTCTTGTTATTAAAGACCACCATGGACTACTCAAATGGAAACTGAACAAATTGAACGACAAGAACGTGAAAGTTTTCTAGATTGGAGAAGAAAGTTAGCTTTGTAAGTCATTAGACAGTAGTCCTCTCAGTTTTATTTATTGTTTTATTTCTTACTCTAGATTACAAGAGATAGATGATATTACTCTAACGCCATTTGAGAAAAATTTAGAATTTTGGCGTCAGTTGTGGAGAGTTATTGAAAAAAGGTATGTAGATGTCAAAAGAAAGATAATAGTGAACTTCTTGAATAGAAAAACTCAATATTAATATATATAATTGGCATATTTTGTGAATTTAGTGATATTATTGTTCAGATTGTTGATGCAAGAAATCCATTACTATTTCGTTGTGAAGATTTAGAAACATATGTTCATGAATTATCATCTGAGGATAAATTAAATGTTATACTTGTTAATAAATCTGATTTACTTACGGATGAACAACGGTAAAGAGAAGAAATAGAATATAGATAGTTTTTAAATATTGTGTGTGTCCTATGTTTTATTTAGTGAATTATGGGCGAAGTATTTTGATACATTAAAGTTACGTGTAATTTTCTATTCGGCATTACAAACGGCACCATGTAAGCCGAAAAGAACAATATCGATTAATGAAAATGACATTGATGATACTGAAAAAATTTTAAATGAAATAAAACGAATGCAAATGAAATCATTACCAGATGATAATATGGAAATAACAACATCAGTTCAAAATCCAAACAATCGATTTAATGGATTAGAAGTATATGATAGTGAAAATACTGAAAAAGATGAATCAGAAAAGATTATTTATAATAATGATGATGATGATGATGTAAATAATGAGGATGATAATATAACAGATGAAGAAAAAGAATATGAATCTAACAATGAAACGAGTGAAAATGAAGAAGATAGTTATATTGAACCAATTCGACCAGAAGTTACCAGTTACGAACAAACTAAAATGAAACATAATTTATCATTGATTGTTAATCGTGAAGAACTAATTTATCTATTAAAAAGTTTTCATAAAAATAAAAAAACTGTCAGAGAAAATATTCTTACCATTGGAATGGTAAAAATTTTAAATATTAATCTAATCATTTCATTTATAGATTTTATTTTATTTATTTATTTTTATTTTTAATTCTAGGTTGGTTATCCAAATGTTGGCAAAAGTTCTACGATTAATTCATTACTTCAATATAAAAAAGTGTCTGTATCGGCCACACCTGGCAAAACAAAACATTTTCAAGTATGAATTAAAATATTCTACTTAAAACGAGAAAATAATACGCTATATACCTGTATATCTAATTTTAGACAATATTTCTAGATAAAAATCTTTTACTATGCGATTGTCCTGGTCTTGTATTTCCATCTTTTGTCTCAACGAAAGACGAATTAATAATTAATGGCATTTTACCCATTGATCAAATGCGTGATTATATTGGACCAGTGAATATAATATCCTTTTTTATTTATATATATATATATATATATATATTTTGTTTTTGTTCGTAAAAGATAAAATAATAAATATTGATAGATTTGTTTTTCTTAACGTTTAAACGTTTGTCAGCAAATTCCTCGTTCAACACTATCAGGTGTATATAATATTATGTTACCACTACCAAATGAAGGAGAAGATGAAGATCGTCCACCAACATCTATCGAATTATGTTCGACTTATGCTTGTAAATGAAAAAGACAAATAAATTATTTGAACACTTTCAACTATATATTTCTTATTTAGATTCTCGTGGTTTTATGACACATAAAGGCATACCTGATGGTTCTCGTGCAGCTCGTATTTTATTGAAAGATTATGTACAGGTATGACATCTTTTATTTCAAGGTTTGCCGTGAAATCTATTCTGTTGTCCATGTTGATAGTCATGCACTAAACCCAAACTCATCAAACTTTATATTAATTTTTGCTGTAGTTAATGTTCGGGTTTGGTGAATTTCTATATGTAAATTCGTGTTTTAATTTTGATTTATTCCTATCCTTATTGTGTGTGTGTACGTTACTTTTGTAACAATTGAATTTATTATGTCTTTTAAGGGCAAACTATTATTTTGCTATCCACCTCCTGGCCAAGATGCAAACGATTTTCAACACCATATGTCCGATGATGAAGATGATGTAGAAGCAAATGAGGACAATGAAATAACTTCAGATGGATTAGTGAAGGTAATGACTACTGCGTACTTCATTCTAAATTAACTTGCATAACATTCATTCTTACTTTATTTCAGGCTAAAGTAAAACCATCAACAGTTGATCAAGAATTTTTTCATCCGGTAAACTCGTTATTCTCTAAATTTTCTTTTTATCTAAATTTGAATAATTTCATTTTTCTTATTTTACAGGTAGTAGCCGGCTTTGGTACTAAAAGCATCTCAGGTAGAAATAAAACCAATGAACCTACTACGAATGATGAGAAACCGTGGAAAAAACACAATAAATATCATAATCGTAACAAACATGAAAAATTACGCAGAGTATTTAAACATTTGGATGCTTAGAATAAAAAATGTGTTTTTCTTAACCTATTTTCTATTCTTCAACAGTGTTTATTTTTATTCTTGTCGTTGTTATTTAAAATAAAAATACAATTCTCAAAATATTTCATTCTCATCAAGATTTGCTTTCTTGAACTTTATATTCATGTGCTTCGATGATATCGAATAGAAATCAATAGATGATAGCCTAGATTATCGTTTAGAAAGAATTTGAAATATTTTTGTTCTCAGTTTGATATTACATTTGTTTCTTAGGTTAATAATTTTATAAACATACAAAGGTAAAACTCGTATTAAAAAAATTTGAAAAAAACAAGAAAAGAGAAAAAGAAATCGTTTTTTAAAAGGACAAAATTTTTCACCGGTACGAATTATTTAAAGTAAAATGTCTTTAAATGAACAAAGTATATTATTAATCAATATACTGTTCAAAAGATATATTATAAATCTGTTACTTTCACAGGTGGTAGATGAATTTGTTGATATGATAGAAGTTGTTCTTGTTGTTGTTCAGAATTTTCGTTAATTTCTTCGTGTTTTTCTTCTTCTACTTCATCTTCTTCGAGTACGTCTGGAAAGTAAGATGCATTGAATCGTGATTTGTTAATCGTATATTTTGATCGTATTCCATTATAATTAGATAATGGCAATGGCATACGAAATACAGCTGATGGAGGAATATTATAGAATGGATTCAATAGAAAATGCTCATCTGTTCCACAATATGCATCATAAATATGATCACCTTGACCAATTTGAAAATGATCTCTATGAAAATCTCCCTCACCTTCTTCACTCTGTATAATTCCATTATACCATGTAGAGTCACTATCGTTATTTGTATCTATTGGTAATGTTTGATCATTATCAATATTATCTTGTACAGGTGGAGGAGGTGGTGGTCGATATTTTGATAAAACAGGCGGTTTTTCATTAAGTTTAATTTCATTTAATGATATTTTTTCATCGTTAACTATTTTTGTTTCATATAAAGGATTCACTGAATGAAACGATGTATCAAATGATGTTGATGTTGATGAAATTTTTTCATCTAGAGTTGATGTTGGTGAACAACATGACGAACGTTGTATGAAAATGGGTGATTGTGATTCATCATTATTTATACAATTATTAAGAAATGGAATTAAACGTTTATTCGATGATGAAGATGTTGATAATGAACGACGATCATTCGAATTGGTAGATGATAGTTTTTTCTTAAGTAATTGAACATTATTGTTCTTATTTTCTATTTTATTATTATTATTTTTTAATGTTGATTGTTCATCAATATTAAGAATATCTTCTTTTGATGATTTTGATTTTTTTAAACTATCATTTGATTTTATTACTGATGAAGAATTTGTTTGAGAGAGTATTGATGGAACAGATGAATTTGAATTTCGTCGTAAACTTGAAGTTGATTGAAATCGATTATATGAATTGTTTGTTACTCTTAAACGATCTAAAGAAGAAAAAAAATAATATTTTCTCATACTGTGTTACTTTATCTATTGAATTATTTGTTCGACTATTATCGTACATATAGACATTTTACATACCCAACGATCTGAATGCTTGTAGAGAATTTTCCGTATCCATATTCTCAAGTGTTTTGACTGATAATGAATCTTGATTCTGTTGTTGTTGTTGTTGTTGTTGTTGTTGAATAATTGGTAGTGATGTTGCAGAAGATAATGATATTGAATCTGATGTTGGTAATAAAAAATTAAATTGATGTTGACTTTTTATTATTGGTAATTTACCATTTTTCTGATAATAAGTTAATATTTTAGACATATTTTCATAACTTTTGTATAAATCATATCCATAATGTATAAGACGTATTCCATTAATCCATCGATAATAATCATATTGTGTATTAACACATAAATATTTAATATATTTAGATGATTTTTTTTGAATTTGAGGATGTTTTAAAGCAAAACCATAATCTGTTGGTGCTTTATATTTTTCTATCCAATTAATACTGTAATATAACTGTTCATTTGAATCTAATTTAATTAAACAAATTAAATCTTTTTTTGTTTTACCTTTTGGTATATAATAAATACCCGATTGTCTTAATACACATGAATATTTTTTCCATATTTTACGTGATTTTTCTTTCATATATATTATACTTTCAATATCATCAGGAATTTGTATTGTTGATGAATTTAATGAAATATAATCCGTTAAATGAAATGTATCTTGACTATTTTTATTATCATCATTATTTATTTGATTATTTTTTATTGTCTTTTTCCATTTATTATGTTGTTTAGTAGAAAAAAATTTATCTGATTCAGTAAATAAATCATATTTATGTTTATATTGTTGAAATCGAATATAATTTGATGTTTCACGTGGCCAATATAAAATACCATCATTAATTAAATTTTGATGATCTTCATAGATACGATATAAATTTAAATCTGGTATTTCTTCAATTAAACAATAATTAATTGTTGGTTTAAAATGATTTTTATGTAATAACATAATGATAATATCATGTACAGACATTGTTTCATCAATTAAAACACTTTTTGTTGAATTATCATCATTATATGTTTTAAGAAATAATTTTTTAATATTTGCTTCTTTCATTCGTGCAATAGCTTGACGAATTTTTTCATCTTTATTCACATTTTCACATGAAATCTAAAAATAACAATACATAAGTAATTGATGTCGACATGAGTGAACAAATAGAAGAAGAAGTGAAAAAAATTTTATTTGACAAGTTTTATCTTTCTGTCCTTCTCTTTTTCTTCTTCTTCTTCTTTATTTGGTGAGAATTTTTTTTTGAATTGTATGAATTTTATCAACCAAATGTAAAATAAAAATTATTATCAAAATTTTTTTTGTTACTTACACTTGATGCATTTGATATTTGACTACATGTTCTCAATGTTGATGATACATGTTTTTGTTGTAAATGATTTAAAATTGGTAAACAAATTGAATCAGTTGATTGTGATAGACCACTATCTGATAAATTATTTAATTCATCTTCTTCTGCTGTTATATCATAATTTTGTGTTGGTGTTGGACAATCATATAAATTTATTTCATTTGATAATTGTTTTTCAATATCATTTGATCGAATTAATTCATGATGTTGAATTATATGAATAAAATCATCATCAATACCACTACTTGTACTACTTCCACTATGATTTGATTCATGTTGTTGTTGTTGTTGTATTTGACTATCAATTGATACATTATTTATTGTATTTGTTAATGATAATAGAGCTTGATCAAGTTCATCAAATTGTTTAACAATACTTTTATTATTTGATGATTGTTCAATAATTGAATTATCAAGATTAAATGTTGTTTGTAACATTTTTGATTTATCATCATTTATTTGAGTAAATTTTAAAATTTTTTGTTGTTTTTCTGTTAAATCTAATCGTGTTTCCAATTCTGATAATTGTGAGAGCAATGCATCGAGATCATTTATAGTTGCTTCTAGAATAGAAGAAGAAGAAAAAAAAAATGACCTTTTTATTTATCTATTCAACAGTGTACAATGGTAAAATTCATTTTAGTATCATCATCACTCTATCGCCACCATTCTTGTGACCAAAAAGTGGAAGAGAAAAAAAAAAAAAGAAGAAGATTATTTCTATATTTCAAGATTGATTTTCACTAAGAGATAATAGTGTCAACATATTTAGCTTCTTTTTGCTCTATTAATAGGTGCTTTCTTCTTTTTTTTTTTTTGCTAACAAATATTTTTTATAGTAGAAAAAAAGACTAATGAGGCCATTTTTCATTTTGAATGATACTAACAATTGTCGTATGTAAGACAGAGAGTACGAACTCCTGACGATCGACACATATTTAATAGAGGAAATGATATCGTTCTTATTTATCTAAGTTTATTATTTCATTTTTTGTTTTTGTTTAATAGATCTTTCGAGTAATAAGTACAATATAAAATTTTTTAATAGTGCCCGTAAGTAATAACCGTTAAACATATTTAGTTGATATAGAGATAGGACATTAGTACTTCAAAGTTAGTTCTAGTATTGTTCCACTACTCACTTATAAAAAGTATCTTGATCGATCAAAAAAAAACACTTTTTTTCTTCTATATATTTATATTATATATATATATGATTCTACATACCGTAAGCCATGACTTCTCTTTTATGTCTCTATTGTAAGGTATATGTAAGAACTTGTTAGTTGTTTTTTCAAACAAAAAAGTCTTTGTCTTTGTCTATATATACGTATATATATATATATATGTCCCGTAGAAATAATAGACAGTAACAGGTGCTTGTATGGAGTCTTATCAATTAATACACAAGACGTATGAGTGGGTGTGTACTCTTACATTTGACAATGTCTTTGAGTCATGTTTTTTTTGAAGAATTTTTTTAATATTATTTCGTCGATCGATCAATCAATCACGTATTATACATTCACTAGTGTATGATATGTATGAAACAAAAAAAAAAAAAAGAAAAACTAGTTTGAAAAGTGTCTAGGTGACCAGACGTGTATTTACTCCATATAGTGTCTATTTATAATGACTATAGCAATGAAATATTAGCCTTTTAGAAAATGAACGATTTAAAAAACGAAGAAAGAAAGATTGTAGAAAAAAATTAAAAAAAAAAGAACGAAATAAACATCATCCACAATCTGATTTTATTATTATACGTATATGTAATTTGATAACATAGAGAGATCAATTGGCAACCATAGAGAAAAAGAGTTAAACAAGGTCGCACCAGTAAAAAAAATAAAACAATAGACTGTTATTAACAATAACTAAAATGAATTCGAGTGAATGAAACCAATTATTTTGATAGAAAAACAAAACTATAATTAGTTCAATCATCGATGAAACAAAAAATCTTATAGAAAAATAATGAGGTTAATGTCAATCACTTTTGCATAGTCCATTCTCAATATATATTATAAATTAAAGATCAGGTTTATTTTAGAGTTTATCAATCAGTATGTATAATTACAAGTTCATTAGTAAGTAGTTAAACAAATGGAGGAGTATATAATAGAACTTTGTATAGACTCAAAAGTTTGAGTCTATGGACTGAAAAAATCGAGTCCGAGTCCATGGAAAACACATTTTTTTAGTTCAGTCAAGTACATGGACTCTAAAAAAGTAGTCCAATTGAGTGCACAATACTAAAATAACATGTTTTTTTACTGATTTTTCCTCAACTTAAGTCCGTCCAAAAGTTTTTGTTCGAATCTAGAACAGTTCATGATCTTGAAAGTTTGAGTCCAGTCCAGTCCGAGCCCATAAGTTCAAAAAATATTCACTTTAATTCATACGGAGCACTGGTATACAACTGTTGTCTCAATTTTTTCTTCTCTCTTTCCTACTGTTCTACTCTCTCAGTTTTTTCTCATCAGTAATTCTTGCCAAATCTTTATTCTTTGTTTCACTTTGTACACAGTGTTGTTAAGTGTTACTTCTTTCACACTTGTCTCCTACAGTAGTTCAGTGTCAAATAAAGATATACTCTATTATTATCTAACCAATCTCATCATTTACTCCTACTGTGTGCGCGTGTGTTTGTCTGTAGTAAATTAGTAAAAAAAAAAAAAGAGAAGAAAAAAACCAGTAAATGATAGAAAAGACGTTGAAGATGGCTGCATTTTTTCAAGATCGACCTTCGCCTTTTAGAAACACACACATAAATGTCTTATATATGGAACAAAGTATACAATGTCAAAATATATATATATATGCAGTATTAGACAATAAAACAAAAAAAAAAGGAATTAGAACGAAGTACTATTGATTGATAAGTGGAGAACTCATAGTTTAGTAAAATAGTCATTATATAAACTGATAAAACTAAAACAAAATAAAGATGATGCATATTTTGTGTTTTTCTATTTGATTAATTTGGATCATAGTAACTATGTGTTATTATAGGTTATACATTACACATCATTTCACTCATCTTCATCTTCATTGTATACGCCGTCTTGACTTTAATATCAACAACGTCTAAAATCTATTTAGTCGGTTGTTCTTTTTTTTGTTATTGCAGATGTGTCTGTGTAATCTACATGGTTTACTATTTTTTTTAAGTTGGCAAGTGATAATAATGATGTAAACATTTTCTTCTTTTTTTTTTCGATTTTTTGTCTTTTATACTGGAAACAGTTTTATTTTATATTAAATTACTAAGTTCACACACACTACATTTAAAAAAATATTTTTAAATTATGAAATTATAATTGACTATTTAAAATTTAAGATAATTTTAGAAGAAAACGTTTTTAAATCAGATGTCTTGTGAGAATAAAAGCAAAGAATAAGTTAGAATAATTATTTGTATAATCATTTTTTGCTTCTTTACACACTTATAAGAAATAAACAAATTTTTTCAAATTTTTCTTGTCATATTGAGCACACATATCGTAATGTATGAATATATGAACACTTCTTTTCTTTGAAGAGTTTTTGTTTCACTTTTTCTTCCTATACCCAAAAGAGAATATACGAGGTGAAATTATCCCTTCTATTGTTGTTTAATTTTATAAATAAATATTGACTTTTCTAGTGTATGTGTGTATGTGTGTATATATATATATCAATAAGATTTATACGTAAATCATTTAGAAGCATAGAAATACATCTTAAAATCTCAAATTATTACATCAATTTTTTTCACCTTTTTAATACAAATATTTGTGACAATAAGAATGAACATTTTGTTCAATCCTGTTTAATAAAAAACAAAATCTTACCATCTATATTTAGTAATGAAAATTGTTCAACATCGATTAATTCATTATTGTTCACCATTGAATATTGACATTTTTTCTCAAGTGTACGAAGTTCATGATGAACTTCTTCAATTTCCTGAAAAGAATATCAAATATCATATACATATCAAGAATAATTATTTTCTTTTAGATATATTATTTAAGAAATAACGTTAGTTCTAATGACTCGTAAAAACTTTATTAGATAGGATGATGGTTTATCAAAATAATCATAATTTTAGTGAAAATGATTGTGAAATATAAACATTCATTTAATCTTCTAATCTAAATGTAGTTGGCCGGTTTTTATACACAGATGTATAACATTAGTTATTTTAAGAAAAATAAAAAATGTCTATTAGTTTGATAAGTAGTGAATACATAAATCTGTTTTATGATAATGAAAAGAAAGTAAGTCAGAAAAGAAAGAAAAGAAAGTCAGGTTTATCGATATATAAGAATGTGGCAACAGATTACATCTCTCTTGTCTCATATAATCACCTCTATTGATAAGCTTCTTTAAATAGATATTATAGAGAGAGAGACTAATCTAACTATTCGTTTGTTATCAGACTATTAACAACAATTCATAAAAGAATTTTTTTCGACCATGATTATATTAACAGTACAGTACAAAGATAGTTCATGAAACAATTTATTCAGCTCTCTCTCTCTCTCCATATATATATATATATATAAATAGATATTTTATTTATTTTTATTTTCTTTTGCACATCCATTGTTATTGTAGTGAACAAGACTCCGATCATACTGTTTCATGTTCAGAAATAAAACACAATTATATTATTAGAATTAAATATGATCATTATTAGACTCACTCGTTTAAGGGCAGTTAAATCTTCTGAACAACTGTTCATTGCTCGTCTAGCTGCTCGTTCATCAGGATCAATTTTTCTATTTTTATTATTAATATCATAATTATAACCATTATCCATGCCGTTTTCTCGTTCATCTTCTGATTCTTCTGATATACTGGATAAATACATCATTCGATAATACATTTCAACGTTTTGATCTATTTTAAAAGTTAATTATTTTTCTCTAGAGAATAACCATTGTCATTGCTATTTTGATCTTTGAAGATCAATGAAACCTAAAACATGTAAATGTTAATACACACACACACACACAATCCCATTAGATATTTAAACGATAAGAACAATGTTCAAATTTTTTGACAGCTGAAGGCTGTCAGTTTTTATTTACAATTGCAAATGTTTTGTCTTATTGTATGTTTAAAAAAGAAAAATGTCAATAAAAGATGAGACAAAAAGAAAGAGAGAGAGAGAAAGAGAGTATACGAAGGTTCGATTTACAATATATTTAGATTAGTAATAACAATTTCGATGTTATTACTGTTTATTTATAATAAATTTGTTCAATAAATGACGAAAAAATAAATGTGAATGAAATATCGCCTGGTGATCATGAATAAACGCACATGTAAAAATATTACATAATCGGATATACTAACTAAAGTATTAAAATAACTCTCGTTTACTTTCGTGTATTATATATCAAACAGAAAAACAAATGTAGATACAATTTTGAATAAATTTGAATGAGAAAAACTGGACAAATAAAAATAATATTTACAAAGTTTGATTTAGATGATGTTTTTTTTATGAGAAGGAAAAAGGAAATTTTCAATATAAATTAAGATATTCTGATAATTCATCTATGATTGACCTCAATTTGTCAAAGTTTTATTTAACAATATTATTTTTTTTCTTCTTCTCTCATTTATCTTATTTTTTAATTTTGTCTTTGAAAAAAATTTTGTCTTAGACTTTAGCAAAATCATGAAAGAATTTCTACGTTATCTTACCTATAATTTTTCTTTTCTTTTTCTAAAGCAAATAAAAACAGCTTCATTATTTAATCACTGAACAATGATGAACATTGAATATCAACGATTTTCTTTTCCTCGTTACAACACATCCAAAGATAAACAAACACGATTATAATAGAGAAGCAGCCAAGGGGAAGAGTCTTGCTTATGTTCATCTACTCTCTGTTTTTTTTCTCCTACACAAAAGAACAAAAAAAAAAAAAAAAAAAAAAAAAAAAAAAAAATTAATCTTTTTTATTTTTTTTTTTAATCAGACTTTAAATAATTTATGTAAGATTTTTTTAGGCTTCTGTCGTCACCTTCCGTTCTTTCTTACACAAATGTTATCATCGATAACATAATACTAATAACATGATCATGTTCATCTTCATTGTATCTATAGTTATTCATAAAACGAAAATCAATGCGCGATCACTTTTTATATAAAAATATAATTCTACTAATTTTTTTTGTACAATATCTGTACAAACGAGTGATGATCAAAATCATCATCTATTGCTAAAAAATAGTGACAAAAACGGTTTTTATATAAAAAATGTCAAGGATAAAACAAAAAAAAAAGAAAACAATATAAATAAATTTGTTGAAAAAAAAAAATTCTTCATTGAAATCCAATATATTGAGAGAAAAACAATGAGTGGTTTATTCCTTTTCAATATATTGGCCTTGATTTAGGCAGTAACCAACGAGTTAAAAAAATGATCGAGACTTTCAATTATAATTATTGCCGAATGTATCGTTGAAAACTTTTTTTCTATGATGATCTATTGTGTATCATTTATGTTTTTATATGAATTAATTAAAAAATTTTCGTTTGATCAAAGTTTACGTTCACATTTTTTTCGGTACAATATTTTAACTAGTTTATCTTTACTTATAGTGTTCAATATAATCTTCAACAATGATATCATAAATCAGAGATAAGATCGATGCATATGTTTTTTGAAATCAAATTGAAAATGAATCAAAATTTTCTCAAACCGAATCGAAGTTGAACAGCTGACAAAGATAGCATCAATTCGGTTTGAAATAGAATGGAATCGATTCAATTTTTGAACAGATCAAATCAAATTGATCTCATCTCTATTATAGATTAGACCATGAGAGTAGCAACTATCTCTCCTACCTTTATTGTCCCATATTAATTGTTGATTTTCGAATAATCTTGATTCTGTTTCAAAAATGTTTTAAAACGACTACTTCTTTTCATATGTATGTCTACGAAAAGAAATGAGTAAATAATTCTACTGTATACATATATTGTACAATTGTGTGTGCATGTGTTGCACAAGTGTGTTCGAAATTCTTTCTTTTTTTTTTTTTTTCTTCTTCTTTTATATGTAAAATACGTAATGTTCTCTTGAACACAATAGTGAGTATCTACTAGTTCAGAGAAGAAGAAAAATTCTCTCGATTTTTTTAAAATTCGTGTTTTTTTCTTAATCAATATATCTTGTGAACTAAAGTAACATAAGTCAGATGACCTCTATGTCATATAATTTCTTGAGAACGTTGGCTATCCTTGAACTTACCATATCTCTATCACTTCGATAACATAAAAATGGGTAGGTAACTTTGTTGAATAGAAATCTATCAACAAAACGAGAAGAGATTAAAATTACAAACAATTACTTATGATTTAAATTTAAATTATATCCTGATGATGATGATAACGATATGACAATTATCACAATAGATAGATATAGACTAGATGATAGTTTAATAGTAATATATCTACTATTCATCTATTATTTATCAATAGATAAATAAATGACGTGTGCAAAGAGTAGAGCACATAATAATTACCATAAGAATAAATTGATCATAATTGTAGGCGAGTATGATAATCAAAATTAATTGGTTAATACGAGAATCGACTATAAATCTTTTGAATAAAGTTAAATATTTGAGAGAGAATGAATAAAATGAACAAAGAAGATCGTCATAGCTATTTCACAATTTATTATTTCAATCATATTAATTTATTATAACAAATTTTCCACTTCTTTATGTTACTTGTGATACTCTAATTGACCATTCTTATCTTTTACATAAATTCAATTAGTGATTTTTTTTTTTTTTTCTTTTCACTATAAATTTCTCTCGCATTTATAGGCCATTGTTTCATCTTTTTTATCTTATTTAAAAACAGGCGAACAAGAGAGAGAAAAAATGAAAGTAATTATTTCGTGTAAGCAAAAAAAGAAAATCAGATTTGAGTTTAAAGTATTTTTTTTTATCAATATAGACAGTGTCTACAACAAATCTATCCTTCACGAAGAAAACATCAATTTTTTAATGTTCTAATGTGCAAGGACAACAATTACTTGTGATTTAAATCTAAATGATAGCCTCAATAATGATGATATGACAATTATCACCATAGATGGACATAGACTAGATGATAGTAGAGAATAGTAACCCGTCTGCTTTCTCATCTATGATATTATCAATCAATGGCACACAAAATCTAATAATTTTAAAATATATATGTTCTTTTTTCTAGATTCGAGTCGGACTATTAAACATGTCGAAGATTGAGTATAGTTTAATTTTACAATCTAAGAAATCAAATATTCTCTTTTTTTGCCCTTCTTCACAATCTCTTCGAGAAAATTTATGCTTTAGTTGTGAACAGGTTGTAATGGTCAATTATAAAGTGAAAAAAATCGTTCTATGATAAGATCTATATTGCTTACATTCGTCTTATGGCCACTCGTTTTTTTCCTTTTTCTTTTTCTTGAAAAGTGTGAGAGTCATTTGTAAAAAATCAACGTACCATGCATAATGTTGTTTCGTTCAAAAATCGACTAATTTATGCATTTTTCCTCTTCTTTTAACACCTTTGTGCTAGACTAGAATGTGAAACATGTTAAAGATCACGACTCAAAATTTTTGTAATATCTATAGATATATATATATATCGCTAAGTGATTTCAAACTCAATGAACAAACTCATGTTCATCTACATACAGTACCATAATACAGGGTATTTTATTCATGATGGCCCAAAAGTGACTTTACCGAGGTAGACACGCATTATTCTGTACATTTTTATTTTGATTAAGCTCGTTTTTATACTAAAAGATTCCCCGTTGAATTCTCTACATGAAAAAATGTATTGACTGTTTTATTGCAAAATCCGAAGGTGCAAAATGGCATGAGAAATTGTGAGAAGTACCAAAATGTAGAAAAAATAAGCGTATTTTCTCAAAGAGAGCGAAATTTTTTCGTATGATTTCTCAGGCATTAAAACATAGTTCCAGTATAGTTTTATGTAATTTCAAATATGCCCTTTCTCGTCGTGTAGAGCGAAAATCATTTGAATCTAAATATCCGACGCAAAGATTAACTTCTCAACAATCAACTGAAAATAGCAAAAGTTGTTACCCTTTTTTCTGCGTGGCAGACCAAAAAAGATTTTTTTTCCAAATCTTAGAGATCCGATCATAACGACTAATCACTTGTTTTCAAAATTAAAAAAATCAACCGGAATGGATCAAGTTTGACCAAGCTTTATTTATTTTATTAGAAGGCTCAAATTATTAGTAAAAATATCGTCATTTTTGAAAAATTGGCAAAAAAAATGACATTCTTGCGCCCTCAATTTTAACTGAAAATTATTTAAATTATAGACGGAAAATAGAGCTTTTCGAGGCGGACACGGTGACTACTTCAGCTTTCCTCTCTCACAAACTTTTAGCAGATAATACTAAAAATAAAAATAAAATTTCTCACAGTTTCTCATGACATTTTGCAATAAAACAGTCAATACATTTTTTGTAGAGAATTCAATGGGCAATCTTTTGGTATAAAAATGAGCTCAATCAAAATAAAAATGTATAGAATAATGTGTGTCTACCTCGGTAAAGTCACTTTTTGGCCCGCCGGTATGTATCAAAATCAAAACAATTATCCTTGCCTGTCAGTGAATGATGAACAGTTTTGTTTTAGTCTAATCTACAGAGATTTTGGCAAAAAAAACATAGATATTCTTGAAATAAATGCATTCATTTTAGTGTTGAATCTATTCAGATATATTTTTGTGCTTTCAAATATCTTTTTTCTCTCAAATATATAATACAATACCTAAACAGAATAAAACGTATAACAAACAAACAAATAATAATTTTATCTATTATTTTCTTTTTAAAAACAGAAAACATCCAACGGTAACGAATGCTGTTAGAGTGACGAGTGTTGTTATTATTAACGTTCTACTTTTCTTATTATTTTCATTTATTTGATTTTTTTTAACGATATTTGGATATTTATCTTCAATTTTTCTTGTTAACGTATCAATATATATTTGTAATTGTTTTATATCTGATTCAATTAGATCAATTTCTCTATTGTAAATTCGATATTCTGTCTCATTTGTCGAATCATCTTTACATATTGTACTTGTATTTAATAAAAAATTTAATGTTGAAGTCATTAAATTTGTTTCAGTTTCAATATGATTTAATATTTGATTTATTTCATTATATGTTAATTTGCAATTATATTCTTCGAGTGAATTTATTCTTGTTGGTTTTTCACAAATAATATCATTTAATGCTAAACGTAATTTTTCTCGATCACTTTTATTTCTTATACCCATTAAATCAAATTCTTCATCAGTTTTATGTATTAGATCATCAAATGTTTTATATTTAGTAAATAATGGTTTCAGATATTCTAAATCTAGTATTTCCAACAATGTTTCTAATTCATTTTTTTCATCCATTTAAATTGAATTTAATATCTAAAATATGTAAAATATCTTCATATCATATCTCAAATGTATAGACTATTTGCATATCTGTTCAAATCACCACAAAAAGATTTACTAACTACTTTTGTCTGAATAATTGATCTTTTTTGATCGCATAATATATTTTGATCCTGACTTTGATTTTCTCCGAATAAAAATATGTCTCACCTTTTGCATTGACTTACTCATCGTTCATATTGCTAAGTAATGACAGATATACATTAACCCTTTGTTTACCAGCATCCTGAATTCAGGACGCTTTTTTTAAGTTTTCTGATTTCCAAATAACTGTCGAACGCAAAAAGATATCAAGATGCGACGAATGCAGTTTTGTCTACTGATCTCTAATATGTTTTTAATTTTGCTTACAAGTACATGGAAGTGAGAAAGACGAAAATAAATGAAATGACTTGGGGTTAGGGTGAGTGTGAAGTAGAGAACTGCACTCTGGGTTCAGGTTAAGATGTAGTTGAGTCGCGTTCGGATTGAATATTTTGCGGCGCAATTTAAAATATAGATAATAATTTCAATTTTGTATTAATCGTTGAAAATTTAACTCTACTGGAATTTTCAGTTGAAATTTTTATTTCAGAACAACTGCATTCGCTAACGAGGCAAGGTCTTCAGATGCACAACTCCGTTTTTAATGATATTATGCCAATTAATAGAGGAAAGTAAGCTGATAAAAACTCTTAAAGGAGGACCCATATCAGTTCTTTCAAAAGTTATGAACTTTTGTGTTCTAAAGAAACAGTGTGTGTAGTAACAGTGATAATTCTGTAACCCAGTTAAAACAAAGAATTAAGAAGTGAAATTTTCGTTTGTACTTTTGCTAATGGTTTTCTAATATTACAGGAAATTTGAGCGTTATATCTTTGTAAATTCATTTGTTATTAAACTTTTCTTCTTGAAGGAAAACAATGTTTTTCCAAATCGCACAATTTTCAGTGATAACATTTCTCTTTTATTGGAGTTGATATTGCGAATTTAGAAAGACATAACGCTCAAATTTTCTGGAATATTAGCAAAAGGTCACTCGCCTGTGATGCAATGCCCTCCGCTAAATAAATAGGTAAATAAAAAGACATACACTTAAGAACGAAACAAAGGAGTTAAAATTTATCGGGTGGGATCGGGTTCGGGTTAAGTTATTGTCGAGTCGGGTCAGGTTTGGGTTAAGATGTTGTCGAATCGGATCGGGTTCGGGTAGGCATTTTGACAGTCGGGTCGAGTTCGGGTTACGTTTTCTTAACCCGTGTAGGTCTCTGGTATGAAGTCGTCTTGACAATATTTTACCTATGGATATTTTTTCTCCCAAAGGTTTAATTACAATATTTTTACATGATTATGACGGACGTTAACCACAGAAGTTATGGTAGAATGGACGATCCTTGATTGCTCACTCTTGCCTTCCTATGTATGTTTCAATAGTGGATGCTCATTTTCAATGAATTTCTCGAATCATACACTAGTTAGCCTTCATACTTTGTGTGAATAATCTAAAAACATTTTAGAGTATCTGGTGCATTTCTGAAGTGGAGATAATATTTCTAGATTGAATTATGAATGTTTTTTGAAGTGAGACTCAAACTTCAAAAGTGATCCTCAATTGTAAAATAGCTGTATTTCAGTGACTATTAAGAGCTAACATTTCAGATTCATACCATAGATAGAAGAGAATCTGGGCTACATTTTGGTAAAAAGAAAAAGTTTTCACCTCTCTTGGGTCAGGAGTTAGTAGCATTTTACGAGAAAGAAATGAAACGCTTACATCTCACGAACCATCTAGGAAAAGAAGCCTAAAATTTATGGGTGATCAGCATTCATTGAGAACAATGATCACACAAATTTAGAAGTCCGTAGCTATCATGGTCGAGCAATGGTAAACAAACGGTTAATAAAAAAACAAAGACTAAATGCTCTCAAGACACCGCTGTCAATTCTATTCTGTTGAAATAGAATTTGCATGCAATAAAACTGATGTTCGAATTACTTACTTTAATCCATCCGTCAATGATTTAACGAATGAATGCGATTTATTAGATCAGTTGTTTTAAAAGCTTTTTGCACAATGTTAAACAAAATCTGAATAAAAATGTTTATTTAAAAATTAAAAATAATATAGAAAAACAATATAATAATTTTTATCTTGAAATTTCTACTACATTTTCAGTTGATGTTTTTTTTAATTTAGTCCGTTTTGATTTTGTCTCTTTTCCATCAGGTTTATGTTGAGTTTCATCAACAGTTTTATTCGATGTATAACGTTTGAATTTTTTCTTTTTCTTTTCGATAATTTCATTCGATTCTAATGATGATGTTTCTTGTTGCTCATTTTTATTTGTATCATTAACTGTTTTGGATTGTTCAAATATTAATGTAGCATGTACACCAGCCATAAGTCGTATACGATCTACTCGAAGATTATTTTCTTTAATAAATGTTAATATGTTGTTAGATGACGGCTGATCTAATAATAATTTATAGGCATCATCCATAGACAGTGTTGATATCATATTTTTAGCTATATGTGCAAAAGCAAATGGCTTCCAATCAAACTAAAAAAATAAATTTTAATCTGTGATGTCTATGAGAAGAATGATATGTAAGAGTAAATGTGTACATACCATTGCAATCACTTTGGTAGGATAATCATCAGGTAGATTAGGATAATTTTGTTCAAATAAAGATTTACTCTGAATGAGAAAAAAAAAATGTACTAGATCTCTGAAAATTCTTAATTTTAGTCAATTGTTTCAGCTAACTTTCTAAATTACTCAATGTGAATGAAAGAGACTTCGATAATCTTTTAATTACACTCTACTAGCTTAGAATTGAAATTTTAACAGTTACTCCTTTTTTTCTTCTTCTCTGAATAGGAAAACAAAATCTTAAAACCACGACCGGATGTGAACAATTTTTTTTTTTTATTCGAAAACATTTCAATATATAGTCAACATACGAGATCATAACCTTCTACATCGGAAAATTCTTTTTGTACAAACGTCCATATCTCCGATGTGAGAAATGGAATAATTGGTGCAAGCATTATTAAACAATCACATAATGCCCGACGATGTTCTTTTGATTGTAATTTAATATTTAATGGAAGTTTCTATACAAAACAGAATAGAACAAAGATCAAATATAAATTAATTGTGTATTCTTAACTAACCACTAAATATTTTGTTAATTTTTGAATTTCAATAATGGCCGATGGTATATTGAAAAAACTAGTAATAAAAAAGTTAACAGAATAAATTGTATTTAATCGTTGTTCACGTATGGCTAATTCTATTTTTTCTAATTCTTTATTGTCAATAGATGGTGTTGATTCTATAGATTGTTTGTGTATGCGTAGTTGAGTAAAAAAACTCCAAAAAAATCGAAACCAATTTCTTACACCTGTAGGAGCACCATCTTCTACTAAAAAGATAAAACGATAATTTTATTTGTAATCTCATTAAGTTATTTATATATTTTACAATTAAAATTTCTCGGTGATCTTGGATGAACAAAATTCATCATTAAAAATCGTGTAAAATCAATTCCATATTCGTTGATTATCTCTTCAGGATCTATGCCATTTTGTTTTGATTTACTCATTTTCTTCCATTCAACATTAACTAATTCTTGAGTAGTTTTATCAATGTACGTATCATCTAATAGAAACGAGAAAACAAATTCAACATTATGCAATTGTTTCTCTTAATCAATGAATCAAAAATTAAACAAACCTTTTAAATAAACATCATCTTTGGAAAGATATCTTCCGTCTTTGGTAATATATGTTTTTCCTTGGACCTATTTAATTAAATAAGATGGTAGATTTGAACTATAAAAAAGAACATTTCTCACATATAAATCTTTTACTTACAATACCAATTGGAATAAAACGTTTAAATGGTTCCATTGATGTACATATATTTTTTGAATAGAAAAAATGTTGAATAAAACGTGCAACAAACAAATGTGTTATGGCTAAAATGGAACAAAAAATGTCTACATATAATATCTAATCATCAGTTTAATTTGGTCAAGCGATAAAATTGTGTGAATAAAGATATTAGACAATAGTTTGAGAGTAAAAACATTTTTTGATTTCAAATGAGTGAAAGAATGAGCGAGTTTAATGTAAAATTTTGTTTTAAGCACTACTATTATTGAAGCAGGCATTCTCCTTTCTCACATATATTTCTCTACAATTACCATGTTCAATTCCACCGATATAACAATCTACAGGCATTAAAGGATTGACTTTTTTCCCATCAAATGGTTTTAATTGATTTTTATTATCCAAAAATCGTAAAAAATACCATGACGAATCAACGAATGTATCCATTGTTTCAATTGAACGAGTAGCTGCATTACCACATCTTCATCAAAAAAGAAAAAATGATAATAATTATAACATTTTATCGTCTTTTCGACATAGTTTTCTTACTTTGGACAAGTTGTTTTCATCCATTGCTCTGCATTCGCCAATGGTGATATACCAGATTTTTTACCAAATTTAACGTCTTCGATTGATGGTAATTTTACAGGTAACTGATCGAATGGTACTGGTACAGTCTATACTGAATGAAAATTATTACGTAAAAATGATTAATATATTATGTTTAAGAGAAACTTCGTCTTTAAATACATACTGAACATTTTTCACATTCGATAATTGGTATCGGTGTTCCCCAATATCTTTGTCGAGATATACACCAATCATTCAGTCTTCCTGATGTTAAATATCCACCAGCATTACACTTTTGTAAATCACTCATTATCTTGGATCTTTGTACATTGTTTGAATTTTCATCGTTCTTAATAGATATGCCGTGCTTTGTAGCAAATATTCGATCATATTCATTTAAATTTGGATTTCCTGGGAAAAAAAGGAAGTTAATCGTTAAGAAAAATTCATTTCTCTTAAAGTTATCATTGGATTGTATCATTTAATTGATAACAGTTCCTTTTTGACACTGTTACATTTTACTCATCTGTATATAAAAGAAACAACTAATAACTCTTTCACCATAATCTACTAACTATCTACCATATTTTAGATTGTTTATATTGGAATAAATATTCACCTAACTGTACATTCAATACTGGTACACTATTTCGATCCTTTGGACCATAATCAACTTCATTATCGATGAAAATCGGTAACATTTGACCATTTAATGGGTGAATGGCATACACATTCAAACGTTCTACACTCGTTGATAACTTCTACAAAAATGCACAACAACTAGGCGAATGAATCTCATAAAACGAAGATATAATAAGTGATTCTCACCTCTATCGTTTCTGGCTGTACTAATTTATGATCACTTCTGATGTACAGATGTGTTACATTGAGTAATGATTCTGGTGTCACTGTAAAACACTCAAGTTGATCATATCCTGTACGAACATTCTAAAACAAAATGATATTGATGGAAAGTACTGACTAATTAGCAAGCACTTGTAATCTTCAACAGAATTATCTATAAGATTTATATCATACTGATAAATTAAAAATAACATTACAACCATTACAATCTCCCATCCACATTTTTTGTGTATTTATCAATGCTTCCCAATCATCTTTGTTCAATGTTTCTAAACCATCCAGAAGTGACTAAAATGAAACAAAATAGATTTCTAAACCTATTGATGAATAAGCTAGTTTTTAGAATATTATCTACTTTTGTTAAAGCTCTTGTTCGAATAAACCATTGTTTCAAATATTTTTTTTCAACAACTGCACCAGAACGCCAAGATCGACCATTTTCATCAATTTGTTCTTCGGCAAGTACAGTTTGATCAACTGGATCCCAGTTAACAGCTGCCTTGATAAAATAAACAACATTCTACAGAATATACAAAGACTAATCTTTAAACTAACCTTTTTCTGATAGACTAAACCTTCATTATAGAGCATAACAAATATATACTGAGTCCATTTGTAATAATTTGGATCACACGTTGAAAGTTCCTAGAAATAAGCTATATCAGTTTCACTAATCAAAATACAACGATAATCGAACGTTAAGAACTTCCTGATGTTATTCTAATTCACACACTTACTCGATTCCAGTCAAAACTGCAACCTAATTTCTTTATTTGATCTTTCATATAGGCAATATTTCTAAATAAATATAATTTTAACACTCAGAGTTGTCAGTACACATGATATTATTTACTTGTCTGTCCATTGATCGGGTTGTTCTGAACGTTGCATTGCCGCATTTTCAGCTGGTAAACCAAATGAATCCCATCCCATAGGATGTATAACCTAACAACGTAAAATAAAAAAATGAGTAATTGTTCAAAAGGTATCTAAACATAACAGACATACATGATAATTTTTCATTCGATAAAATCTTGCCAATGTATCACTTAATGTATATACCCGAACATGTCCCATATGTAAGCGACCAGATGGATATGGAAACATGGGTAAAATATAAAATTTTTCTTTCCCAGTATTATCCTAGACAATTATATCAGTTTTCATCAGTTATCGACACAAATATAGGAAAAAATTAATAGATTTGCATTCACGATAGTGCAACAGATGACTTACATTTTTCTGTTGATTTTTTTGATATTGTTCATGTTCAGCGTATAATTTTGGTAACCAATGACTTTCGATTTTTTTGCCTAGATCTACATCGTAAGCTTTTGGCTACAGTAAAACATCTACTGATTAAATAATATAAACGCTTAAATTCATAGAAAAAATGATTTACCCATTGGCCAGTGAGACTAAATAGACGTCGTTTTAATATTAAATACCGCATGTGAAAGTATTTACCAATCTTAAAAATGAGAAGTGAGTGTGATTTACTCTTCTATGTCTAAACAGGAAATTGCAATGCATCTGCGTTCTAAAACAGATGTTAGCCATAAGAAAATAAATAATGTGACATAACTCTTTAACATTGAACTAGCAATTTATTGAAATTATCATCTTTGTTTCTGAATTTAAACGACACGATTGTTCCCTAACGCTTGAAGATATAAATTGTAGTGTATGTACTTCATCAATTCTATGAAGTCATTCATCATAAATTTAGTCCATCAATATCGTCTACTATTACACGAATAAAAAGCGAGCAAATGTATTCGGCAAAGGTAGTTGAATATTTCTTTAAAATATAACCAGAAATGTGAACAAATAAAACCTGTTTATTTTAAATATATATAAAAAGGAGATTTACAATAAATATGAGATTTAGTGGCAGCTAATTTGTACGAGTGATAAAAAATAATAACAAAAAAAGTAACTTCATAAAAACACCACCGGGTGATAAAAGCACTAAACATAAATATCCATGGAATGTTCATACAATGTCTATATTCAATGTTATAATCATGAAGATAAACAAAATTTTCTATGTCAAAGATTTAAAAATTTGTCAACATCATGTACAGAACAGA